ACACACACACAATTGGTTGTGGTGGTATTCATTCCTTCCAAACATGTGATTTTAGAGCTATTTTTTAAAAACTTGCATTTACAAAGTAGGTGATAAAAATATTTTTCTGGATTGTAAAAAGGACACAGAAACCACCAAGACTTGGTAAATGATATTAATCAGACTGACGTCTCTCTCTCCTGCTAACTCTCCTCATTTCTACTTTCTTCAACGTCTGCAGGTTATTTGTCTTTAGTTTCCTGGATAGACATTTCAGCCTGTTTCCCTTTTGCTCTCTTTTTTCATTTGTAATTTTTTGGCAGGTGATTTATTCTTTCTCACTGCCCTTTTGAGTTTGGTTTCAATGTCTGCAAGAATTAGTTTAGCTGAAAATCTTGCCAGTCTCCTCTAGAGCTCTTCTTTTACTGTCCCTTCAGCTAAATTGATCTTCACCTTGAGCTACTTTGGCAGTGGTTTGTGGTGGGGAGGGCAGGTGTCTGGGTGCCTATGGCCACAGCACTGTGGGAAACTTTACAAAGCCAGCTTGCATGGTTGTTGCTGCTAAAATCATTCCTGTTTTGTTTGCTTTTACTTTATTTTATTTTATTCTCTCAACTGTTTAGTAAATTATACACTCTAATTTTATTCTTTGCTATCCTTTAAACCTTACTGTGATACCTAATTTAACACAATCTCATCTAATCTGTATCTTAATATTCCTCATGAATAACATAAGGAATTTAGAATACTTCATTTCTAAATACCTCTCATAAGAGCTGTCAGCTGTGTTCTTTTATAGATGATATGTCTTTTCTCTCTGGCTGCTTTTACAATCTTTTCTTTTTCCTAGGTTAACTGCAATTCTACTACTATGTGTCTGCAAAATTCTCAGTCATATTGTAGCATATTGCCTCACCTCCATTCTATCTGCTCATTCTTTCTGAGGCTGTGATGTAAGATCTTCTCATTTCCCCCAACATATCTTAACTTCTTTTTACATCTTTAAAGGGCTGTCTCTTTACTGCATACTAGGTAATTTTTTAAGTTTTATTTTCCACTTCACTAATTCCCTCTTCAGCTGTGTTTAATCTGCTATTTAACCTAGTTATTGAGTTTTTAAAATGTTTTTAGTGTGAAATTTACTGAACATACAGAAAAGAACATAAAACATAAATGTATAATATAATGAAAAATTATATTGCAAGCACACATATATCATCTTCCAAGCCAAGAAATGGCTGTGTGCCCCTTAATCATACCTCTTTGCACTCCTCAGCAGTAAATACTTGCTAGACTTTTGTAGCAATCATTTCTTTGTTTTATACTTTTTTAAATCACTTATGTATATAGATTTAATCAGTATAGTTTGCTTTTGAAAACTGGAATTGTATTGCTATATTCTTTTGTGTCTTACTTCTTTTGCTCAAAATTATGTTTATAAAATTCATAGAGGACTTCCCTGGCGGTCCAGTGCTTAATACTCCATGCTTCCCATGCAAGGGGCGTGGGTTCGATCCCTGCTCAAGGAACTAAGATCCAACATGCCACGTGGTGTGGCTATAAATAAATAAATATTCATTGAAATTATTTCTTGTATCTCTGTTTTATTCATTTTCATTCCTGTGTAGTCACATTTCTATAGGAATGGAATTGCTGGGTCATAGAGGATGCAAAATCTTTGATTTTAAAGGGCCATGCCAGAATGCTATTCAAAGGGGTTGTACCAGCTTACGTTGCACCAGCAATTCATGAGACATTATCTATTGAATTTTTTTTATAAATTTATTTTATTTATTTATTTTTGGCTGCATTGGGTCTTTGTTGATGCACATGGGCTTTCTCTAGTTGTGGCAAGTGGGGGCTACTCTTCATTGCAGTGTGCGGGCTTCTCATTGCAGTGGCTTCTCTTGTTGCGGAGCACAGGCTCTAGGTGCACGGGCTTCAGTAGTTGTGGCATGCAGGCTCAGTAGTTGTTGCACACGGGCTTAGTTGCTCCGCGGCATGTGGGATCTTCCTGGACCAGGGCTCGAGCCTGTGTCGCCTGCATTGGCAGGCAGATTCTTAACCACTGAGCCACCAGGGGAGCCCTATCCATTGAATTTTAATTTCAGCATTTCTATTTTTAATTTCTAAAATATATCTTTAGGTTCTTTTTGAAGTCACTCTTTTCATTTTTGTTAGTCTCTTATTACTTGTTCAATTTTGTGATTTCATCTTTTATATTTAAAATTTTATAGATATTCATTTTATACTCCGTATATGATCATTCCAAAACCTAAGTCATTAGGACTCTTATCTGTTGTTTTTTCTGCCAACTTTTATTTGTGGTTGCTTATGTCTCTGGTGATTTTTAAAATAATGTATTTAATTTTTAATAACTTAATTTCTAAAATAAATATTTTATATATTTATTTGATCTGAGCATGATCTGCCACTAAGTGTCTTATTAACTACCTATGCTCTATTGTGGTTTCCTGGGGGGGTGTGAGAGGATAAAAATCATGCATATGGGATTAGAGTTGACAGATATTAAGAGTAACCATTATTCCTTAAGCTTTTTTACATTTCCCAAATTTCCTACCATGAATACATAATACTCTTAAAACCGGGAAATAATGTTAAAATAACCATGGAACCAGAATACTTGCCAACCACAAATAAACTCAGCTAGTAAAATTTTATCATACATTATGAGGTAGGATTTTAGGTCACTTCTTAGGAGGCTATTTATTGAAGATTAAGGTATCTTCTCTGTGACTTTCTTTCTATTCCATAACTCTGTCAGTGCAGGGGCTTAAAAGGGAATGCTATTCTCTAGAGATTATTTTTAAATATTGTTTTTAAAATTCTAGTATCAGCCAGGGATTTCCACCCATTTGGGACCACATTAGCTCCCACCTAGATCCCTAACTTAATGCTGGAGTCCTTTCTACTAGACATAGCAGGTCTTTTTTTATTAAAATGGATATGGAGGAATGGCTTTGAGTAAGTATGAAATGGTTTATACCTAAGGAAAGGAGACCAAAATGCAAAGAAAAAGTCAGGGTAGGGAGTAGAGAATCAAAAAACTATAATTGTTCATGGATTTAATTATAAGAGTTGGAGATAAAAACAGATCTTTAAGCCAACTTGGTTACTCCCTCACTACGGATACATTCTCTGGCCTACTGCCTCTTAATCAGTCAAACACAAGACACAGGCAGGAATTTCTAGATAGCCTTTTCTGTCCAAGTGTTCAATCTTTAAGTACTGATCTGGAGTTCAAGGTCGACTTCTGGCAACACTCCCAGAATATGGCAGGTGGGTCCTCCAGGATTTTTGGCATCCTGCAAAGAACGATGGTCAACTCTTGCAGTTTGAAAAATTAGAAAGAAAGGGTGGTGGCTTCCCAGCTTGGCTGGGAAGTTCTGATTCATCCACCGTATTCACTAGACGTTGCATCTTTGGATTTCCATTTATTTCAGTCTTCACAAAATTCTCTTAATGGAAATTTCCATTCCCTGTTAGACTGTAAAAGGTACCTGGAACAGTTCTTTGCTCAAAAAAAGTTTTGGGAAGATGAAATTATGAAGTTGCCTGAAAAATGGCAGAAGGTAGTGGAACAAAAGGGTGAATATGATGTTCAATAAAGTTCTTGGTGAAAATGTCTTTTATTTTTACTTAAAAACCAAAGGCACTTTTTGGCCAACCCAGTAAATGGTGAGGGGGAAGGGAACTGATTTCTCAGTCCCTTATTGTGTCTGATGTGATAGGTGCTTTCACATATGTTCTTTCATTTCTTCACACAATCTTGTGAGGTAAGTATCATCCCCACTTGCCAATGAGGAAACTGAAGCTCAAGAGTGACTTCCCTAATGTATCAGAGCTTTGAGTGGCAAACCCAGTATTTTGAACTCTCTTCTATCAGCATTACTTAATGAAAAAAGTAGAGAAATTAGTCCTACTACAAGATGCTTTTTCCAGAATCAACGGAGATGATGTTCACAAATACCTTTTCCAAACTAAAACATGTTAAACAAGTAAGGTACTAAGTATGAGGATGCCATAATAAGTAAAACAGATATCCAGTTTCTATCATTTGAGCATAATGCCTTGAATAAAGCATCCAGTGGACTAGGGATCATTGATAGGCATTTAAATCTTAACGTTTTACGTTGATGTACCTTTTTCAAAATAGTGAGCATTTAGCTGTTGTATTGGCAGGTGGCTATGTTGAGTCCATATCATTTGTATAATTCAATATTCATAGCGCACAAACACATCACAGGGTGTGTTTTGTAACAAAAGACAAAAATAAGGCATGGTCCCTGCTTACAGCAGGCTTACAGTCTGAAAGGCCTTAAGATACAGGGGATATAACTATAGGGAGAGAAAACTTTATCTTTAAAAAACGTTTTTGCATGAAAAATTTCCAAGTCTTTGGTGATAATCAATGAAATGCCTTAATGAAGCAGGTTTTGGAATGGGAATTAAAGAGAAGGTACCCATTTGGATACTGTGAGAGAAGATTGATTTGGTTTCTAGGGTATAATGAACAAGTGATTCTCAACTAATGGCAAGAAGATGCTTCCCTGGGTATCAGAATATTTGGGGTTGGAACAAAAAGGCTATGATTTTTCAAAACAAGATGGTACCTTATGCCTTTGATTCAATTTCATTTCGTTTACTTAAAAAATCCAGTTAACACTGAAGGGAATGTAGGTCTTTTTGGTTTCTAAATGGGAGAATGCTTTAAAAAAGTAAGAGGTACCAAGATGAAGACCAAGAAAAATAAACAGTACAATGTGGTGTTAGAAGAAAATTGGAAAAACAGAAATGAAAGGGAAGAGTCAAAAGTAAAGATCACAAAGCAATGGAGGAATTAACAGGATGACTCTGGGTTAGTTAGTAAGGTCAGGTGAGGGGAAGGCTTACTCTGAAATTTGTCCTAGTCGAAACAACTAAAAGATTTAAAGAAGTAATCCAAAGCTCCTAATACAGCAAAAGATAAATTAAAAACAATTCTGATTAAAAAGGAAAAATATACTGTAAAATATTTATTTAATAAATAAGTTTATAATCTATACAGAATTGAATAAAAAGTACAACAAATTATTTTCACTTCTTTACAAAACTGCATACAGTACAACTTGCAAATTGGGTTCAGCATTCTACAGATAGGGCCACACACCAAGATGTAAACTTATTATTGTGTTAAATAAGTAAAGGCTCTAACTGTGTACCACAAACTTTGAATTAAATTCCAGGGAAATACTGCTTTAGTATTGATTGTACCACAGTCTTTTATTTAAAAAATTAAATAAAATTCCTCAAATACCACTTTTCTACTTGTTTCTGAGTAAACAATTCCCTATGTAGCAAAATAAAACACAACAAAGACAAAATATAAAATTAGAGGCTGCTATTTAAGATATCACTTCCTCTTCCCTTACTTAGCTAGTGGTCTTTTCCTTTCCCTTATTCAGAAAGGAAGGTGAGTGGAAACTGACTTATTCTTATCATTCATTTGCTTCTAGAATTCCTGCTTACATAAATGAATATGTCAGTTTTGGAATCTTGACACTATTATTCAGTGTTTACCTATGTCGTTCTAAAAAAGTTAACCTAGTTTTTTGTTTTTTTTTTTATGATTAGGCAACAAAATTGGCTTCAAAATAGTTACGTCTCAGGCTAGCAGCCACTTGGTAGACTAACTTCCCAATTAAATGTGCACAGAATAACATTTTTTTCAAGTAACCTGGAAACTGAGTCAATAGCAATTCTTATTTTAAGCAGATATTCAAGATGATCCACCTTTAGAAACAAAGGCAGATTTAATGTACAAAATACAGGAACTAAGTCTATCCTAGTTCCTGTCCCACCAAAATAATTAATAAGAGGCTCAGTTTGTGAAAAAGACCTTGGAATGATCCAACTCTTAACGACATCTTTATCTTGAATAAGAAGGATAAATAATATAAAAGCTATAAATGGAGATGAAGTTATTTTAAAAAAGATTTTCCATTTTATTTTGGAGATAAAAGTGCAAATACAAAATGGGTTAGTTGTATCTTTAGCCCATTTAGTAACTTTTCATCATAGAATTAATAGTCCTTCATACCGAAGAATAAAAGACAAGCAAAACTGCCTCAAGTTTTCTGATTAGGTCACTTAGATTTTTAGCAGGCCTCAAAACTTGCCTTATTATTTAACTAAATTAGCTTCTCTAGGAAGCATATGAATAATGTAAAAATGAAAAATCCACACGAATACATAATTGTCAAGATGGGAATTGAGAATATTTACACAATGAATTTTTAAAAATAAATTAGAAACGACACATATGCCTTATAAAACACCAAACCAGAGCACATATTGTCAGTGATAGGAACAACTTTCATCTGCAGAAACACAAATGCACGTGAATAACACAGAAATAAGAATTAAGTTGAACAGAGGCAGGTGCTATTAGAACATATTTCTGTTCTGACCTGTGACACCTGTGGCCCCTGTGAAGCCCTGGTCCCACCAGGCCAAGCATCTGGCTAATCTGATACAGAAGTACTTGACCTATGAAACACCAGACTCACTTGCTAGCAAGTATACATCACCATGTGCTGCTTGATGGCTCTTGATTACTTGGTTTTCAAAAGCAAGCTCACTTTCAAATCAGAAAAAAGTCATCCTTATATTGGCTGTCTTAAATAATCCATGAAGTACACTTCACTTCTGAACAGTATTCTATTACTCTAGGAGGACAAGGTATAGTCAATTGGCTGCTTTGAAGCCATGAAATGCACACTCATAAATAGGTGTCTACACTTTAAAAAATTAAATACATCCAGGCACAGCTGCTGTGCAGAGTTCTTGTGATAAGAAGCTCATTAGCAGTGTGTTATGAAGTGGTCACTTGAGAACTTGATTCTGGATCTTGGGGCTTTCTGTATTTCTTCAAAATATTGACTGCACCATTAGTCAGGAAAACCACAGCAATGAGTGCAAAATAACCAGCGTAGATGAAGAACTAAAGAGGGGGAAAGAATAATTTATAGAATTATCAATTAGAAGGTAAGCTCTTTTATTACATATATGTGAACAGACTCCATAATTAAAGGTATATTCGGTTTCTCTATAAAACTTCAAAAAACATCGTGTGCTTAAACAATGTGCCAGGCACTGAGGATACAAAGAGGCAGCACAGCCTGGTGGTACTGAAGGCTGACTCCTGGGTGCAAATCCCGACTTCCCTCTTACTAGCTGTATGACCTGGATTGAGAGACTCAGTCTCTGAGCCTCAACTTCATTTGCAAAACATTTTGTAATTCATAATATTTCCTAATTGCAGAGTTGTTGGGAAAGGATGAGATTATGTATGCAAATGTTTATTAGCACAATGCTAATGCTGTTAATACTATTGTTTTTATTTTTGTTGCTGTTATAACTGAATCCTGGTCTCTACCCTCAAGCTGATATGATTAACAGGCCAAATTCTGAATATCAAGACCTCTACTCTTGCCCAGGAGAGGGCAGTAGAAGGTCAACTATCAATATATTCCATTATAAGATTACTTTTTATAAGAATCTTCTCTAAGCCAATATTTTTTTAATTTTATTTATTTTTTGGCTGTGTTGGATCTTCGTTGCTGCACGCAGGCTTTCTCTAGTTGCAGCAAGTGGGGGCTACTTTTCATTGCGGTGTGCGGGCTTCTCATTGCGGTGGCTTCTCTTGTTGTGGAGCACGGGCTCTAGGCACATGGGCTTCAGTTAGATGTGGCACGCGGGCTCAGTAGTTGTAGCTCACGGGCTCTAGGGCACAGGCTCAGTATTTGTGGCGCATGGGCTTACCTGCTCTGCGGCATGTGGGATCTTCCTGGACCAGGAATTGAATCCGTGTCCCCTGCATTGGCAGGCGGATTCTTAACTACTGAGACACCAGGGAAGTCCCTCCGAGCCAATATTTTAATGGAACTATGTTGTTCATCAACATCATCATCATTTTTCTTCTTCAAATAACTTACTAACTACTGATAAGCTAACACTCTGAGCCAGGTCCTTTAAAATTCTGATTCATTTTCCTATAGGAAACTCGTTAATTCCATGGCAGTTACAAGTTTCAGCACAGCCCACAAAATTCTATTACTCCATGCGTTTAAACCTACCACTTCTATAGCAAGATGACAAACACCTAGTTACTCTTCTACCCTCCACCCCAAATGAAAGTACCCAGCCCTTGAGAGGTCTTCTCAAGGTTTTTATTGCAGGTAGTAACTGGGAAACACTTAAGTAATTCTTACCTAAAAGAAAGTAATAAGTTCCCATTCCTCTGCTCTATCCACCCCCTCCCCCATCCTTTTGTGAGGCAGCATGATGCAGTGGGAGATGCCTAAGCTTTGGAGTCAGATGCTGGTTTGAATCCTGGTTCTGCCATACTATTATTGACCGTGACCTTAAACAACACAACATCTCTCAGACTCATTTTCTTGATGTCTAATCCTGATAACAACGCTGCACAATTCTATATAAAGTACCCGGCACATAGAAAGCACTCAATGCACATTACCTATGTCTCTTTTAGACCTCCTCAGTAAAAACAAAGTTACTTACTGCTAACATGTTAGGTCTTTGTATTCTAAGAAAACTAATACGTAAGGAAGGAAGGAATAATGGAGATGGAATCATTTGGGCTGAGATGAGGTAGGGCAGGCACTTTTTTATTCAATTGCCCATTTTGCCGAAGTATATAACAAGCCCTACCTACAACTCACAATCATGAAGGCATATACAACTATACAATTCCTGAGTGAATAAAGTTACTCACACTGTCTCTGAGTGTTTGTGCAGGTGTTTTCTCAGTAGGTCATATGTTAAGAATCATAATGCTATTCAGCGCCAGGAAGCCATTACCTTCGTATTTGGGTGAGGGGTGTTTTAAATAAAGAAGGAGGAGACTGAGAGAGCTCTGAGGTGAAGCACGGCATCTCCAACATGAGATGTAGTATTCCAGGCACAGAATTCAAAATGGAGGGAAATAATGGATGAGGAGGCCGAAGGGCTTGGCCTGGAAGGAACCAATATTACCTCTCAGCTCCACCAGCCTGGTTAATTACACACAGAAATGTTCTAGGGCCTCATCAAAAAGATATTGTTTGAATTTGTTTCCATGAAGCATGCTCCACTTCTGTTACCCTGATCAACTCATAACATCTTCAGTACCGAAACAGAGATCTTACCTGAGGGGTAATTTCCAAGCCAAGGCCGCTGGCATCTACCACAATTAGAGTGAGCAGAGTCTGCAGTGCCAGAGCGATGAAGGTATTTACACCAAACACTAGGGCGTAGCGCTCCATGCTGAGGTTTGCAGCAATCTGAAAACTTAAAAAATAAATAAAAAGAACGCATAGACAAGAATTACTTCCAGGATAGTGTGAAGAGTAGCCTGTACTTTCTACTGTCAATTCCCTTCCCAACCAAGTGAAGAATATTTTGTTGCTAAATGATGTAAACCTCATGCAAACATCTGAAAACAGCAGGAACATTTAAACAAGGAAATAAAGAACCTTGCCTAAATGCTTCCTCAGGAGAAAAACTGGCAATGCACATATAATGCTTCCTCCCATTTGCCTCTTTTAATCCAGAAAATTTAATTTGTAAAGAAACCAAAAAGCTAATCCTGTCAGCTCTTCCTAATGGTTCTTTGAATCAAAATACATACGTTGCTATAGTGATGAGTAACATGTAGATGATTCTGAAGACAACGTAGGATGCGTAGCACACCCAAATGTTACCCACGGTGTCCATGATGTACACTGCAGCAGCAATCAGGAGAGAAAACAGAGACAATGTCAATTCTCCCCAAGTGGACCAGGATAATTTTATGTAACCAACTGCAAACACAGCAACAGCACCTACAAAACAAAAAGAGAAAATTTGTCATTTTGCTACACAAATACTATTTCAATAAATTAAAAATTCATCTTAGATTATTACATTTTAAGATCTTTTAACTTTTAAACAGGGTAGCTCAAGATTATGGAGGGCCTTGAAAGACAGGCAGAGAATTTTGGACTTGATGGAATAAATAGTATGGAGCCATGGAGAGATGATGAGAGACTGAACTAGGGCAGCTGGTAATGAGAAGGAAAAGGAGGATACAGAGCCAGGGATGCTGCTAAGGAAAAACTACTGAGGCGGACACAGAGGCGAGAATCAAAAAGAACCACTGCTTGTAGCTTGGCAACACGGCAGGATGGCTCATCTCTCTTCCCAACTGAGGGGCAGTTTATCATGTGGTAAAATGATGATGGTTATGATAACGATAGCTAAAATGTATGGAGTGCTTTCTAAGTGCCAGTCACAGTTTTAAGTGTTTACAGAAATCATATAAAGTTTTCCAAAACCTTCTGAGGTGGGTCGACAAATTAGAAAGGGACAACAGAATAAAATGGCCAAAGACACAGGCTCTGAGTTCAAACCGCGACTTTACCACTTACCGTCTATATCATCTTGGCCAAGTGATTAACCTATCTGTCCACAGCTTCCTTAACTGTAAACTGGGGATAATAATTACACCTATCTTAGGAATTCTGTGAGGACTGAGTGAACATACATAAAGTCTTTAGAGCAGCGCTTGGCACATATAAACAATATATTTGCTACTGTTGTTATAAAGTATTGTATAGGTTACTCCAAGTTTTTCAACAAGTGGCAGAAGAACCCAGTAAATCAGAGATAATAGAAACCTAGATAAGAAGACAATTTAGAGGACCATTATATTAGGTTTCCCAAAGGTTAAAAGAATTTAAGTTTGTTAGTCATAGCCCTCCACCTCATGTGCAATTCTAAATTGTCCTCCTAAATTATAAAATCAGAGCTCAAAATAAGTAATCCATTCTCTGGGGTTACTTCAAACTTGGGAGGGGAGAGAAAATCTGATTATGGTTGACTTCACTACCAGAGGAATCTCCCCCTCCCAAGCTGCCCTACCACCCTGCACTGCTTACCCAGTAAGGTTGAAACGGCCTCCACGCCACCGTTATAGATGGCAGCATGACGAGAAGGCATCACCTGCTCCCACAGGCCCTGTGCATAGTTCACGACTTGAAAATAGCCGCAGGTGGAGAGGGCCCACCACACGGACCAGCAGAGCAGAGGGCGAGAAGAGTAGCACACCAGGAAATCATTCCACAGGACCTTCAGCACAAGGAGACGGTCTGGCTTGGATTCCTACACAGAAAAAGGGAAGAAGCCAACTGTACAGAAAGCAATTGTATAGACTCAATTTTCTATTCAACAGACTTTTTTCTTGTTCCTTGTGAAAACCAATTGCTTATTTCATATACGTGTGTGTGTGTGTGTATGTATAAACTTCTTAGCAATTACATTTATCCCCACACATTCTTATATAATTTTTGCTTTGAATGCTCTATAAACATTAGTACATCCAGCAAATGATATACTGTTTACAAAATGAAAGTAGAAAGATGGTCAGAAATCGCGTACTTTAGCCAAAGGGAGATGACATTCCATATCTCCCCATACAGTGGCAAGCAACATTAAGAATAAGCAATAATTTGGGCTTCCCTGGTGGCGCAGTGGTTAAGAATCCACGTGCCAATGCAGGGGACACGGGTTCAAGCCCTGTTCCGGGAAGATCCCAAATCTGCAGAGCAACTAAGCCTGTGCGCCACAACTACTGAGCCTGCACTCTAGAGCCCGTGAGCCACAACTAGTGAAGCCCACGCGCCTAGAGCCCGTGCTCCGCAACAAGAGAAGCCACCGCAATGAGAAGCCCGCGCACCACAACGAAGTGTAGCTCCCGCTCACCGCAACTAGAGAAAGCCCACAAGCCCAACGCAACCAAAAAAAAAAAAAAAGCGCAATAATTAGCAACCCTAGTAAATCACTGTTCAGGTAGAATCCATGAATGAGAACCTATCAGATTCACTGAAAGATAACGGTTAAGACAGAAATCTTAGAAAGAAATAAATCAAAATATTAGCAGCAGTTCTCTCTGACTGATGGGGTAATCAGTGATTTTAATTTTCTTCCTTACACTTTTTCTGTTACCCAGTATTTATGGAAATATTACTATTACAATGAAGTAATAAAGCTACTATGCATGCAACTGAGTGAATCAAAACATTACTATGTACCATCATCCCTGGACTATGCCAAGAAGTCAATATGAGATTCCGGACATCCTGTGAAATAGCTATCAAAGGTTGCCATAATTCCGGAGCCTCGCTCAGAACATAGGAACTTTTACTTTTGCAACTAACATGGGAAGGCAAAATGAGAGAATCCAAAGGGACCAAGAGGAAGCTAACTGTGAATTAGCATATAAGAGCCAGGATGTGTGACAGGAGCCATGTTACACATTATTAACACCAATGGCAGCAGCATGATTCAACCCGCTTGCTGGCTGGAAGCCATATCTTGCACATGAGAACCTACAGATGTAAAATGACTACTCCCACCTGCTGTCAGCCCTTTCTCCTTTATTTTTAAAAACTGAGGTATAATTGACCTTTAACTTTATACTAGTTTTAGGTATATAACAATGATTTTATATTTGTATACAATGTGAAATGATCACCACAATAAGCCTAGTCAATATCTGTCACCATACAGTTATAATATTTTTTCCTGTGATGAGAAGTTTTAAGATCTACTCTCTTAGCAACTTTCAAATATGCAATATGGTATCACTAATTATAGTCACCATGCTGTACATTACATCCCCAAGACTTATTTACAACTGGGAGTTTTACCTTTTGACTCCCCTTTACCCATTTTGCTACCCCCTACCCCCTTCCTCTGGCAACTACCAGTCTGTTCTCTGTATCTATGAGCTTGGGGTTTCTGTTTTGTTTTGTTTTTAGTTTCCACATATAAATGAGATCATGCAATATTTGTCTTTCTCTGACTGACTTACTTCACTTAGTATAATGCCCTCTAAGTCCATCCACATTGTTGCAAATGGCAAGACTTCATTCGCTTTTTAATGGCTGAATAAATAGTGTTCCAGTGTGTATATAAATGTGTCCGTATACCACATTTTCTTTATTCATTCATCCACTGATGGACCCTTAGGTTGTTTCCATATCTTGGCTATTGTAAATAATGCTGCAGTGAATTGGTGGGTGCCTGTATCTTTTTGAGTTAGTGTTTCCATTTTCTTTGGATATATACCTAGAAGTAGAATTCTTGAATCATGTGGTAGTCTGATTTTTTTTAATTTATTTATTTATTTATTTTTGGCTGCGTCGGGTCTTCGTTGCTGCATGAGGGCTTTCCCTAGTTGCGGCGAGTGGGGACTACTCTTCGTTGTGGTGCACAGGCTTCTCATTGTGGTGGCTTCTCTTGTTGCGGAGCATGGGCTCTAGGTGCACAGGCTTCGTTAGTTGTGGCATGTGGGCTCAGTAGTTGTGGCGCACGGGCTTAGTTGCTCCGTGGCATGAGGGATCTTCCTGGACGAGGGATCAAACCCATGTTCCCTGTGCTGGCAGGCCGATTCTTAACCACTGCGCCACCAGGGAAGTCCCTGATTTTTAATTTTTTGAGGAACCTCCACACCGTTTTCCAGTGACTGCAACAATTTACATTCCCACCAATAGTGCACGAGGGGTTCACTTTTCTCCACACCCTCACCAACACTTATTTCTTATCTTTTTGATAAGTCATTCTAACAGGTGTGAGGTGACATCTCATTCTGGTTTTGAGTTGCATTCCCCTGATGATTAGTGACATTGAGCATCTTTACATGTACCTGTTGGCCATCTGAATGTCTTCTTGGGAAAAATGTCTATTCAGATCTTCTGCTCATTTTTAAATTGGATTCTTTGTTTGCTATTGAGTTGTATGAGTTCATTTTATAATTTGGATATTAACCCCTTATCAGATATATGATTTGCAGATATTTTCTCCCATTCAGTAGGTTGCCTTTTCATTTTGTTGATGTTTTTCTTTGTTGTATAGAAGCTTTTTAGTTTGACGTTGTCCCACTTATTTTTGCTCTTGGTGTCAAATTAAAAAACACATTGCCAAGACAGATGTCAAGGAGCTTACCACGTACGTTTTCTTCTAAGGCGTTTTATGATTTCAGGTCTTACATTCAAGTCTTTAATCCATTTTACGTTAATTTCTGTGCAGTCCCTTCTTTAAATAGTTAGGTGTTTATAATACCAATAGCCCCTTCTTTAAATAGTTAGGCGTTTATAATACCAAATTAAATGCTGCTCTTAGCTCAGTTATATGCAGAGGGAGATTTGTCTATTATCAAGCCAATAGCTAGGATGGAAACTTGAGAATAAATTTGCTTCTTTTATTGTGCTGTTGAAGGACACAATCCTAATTCTTGCTATAAACAATGAACATTTTTTTCATGATGAAAGGAAGACTATCATTATTTTCTCAGATATTGATATTTCATTACCCAAAACATAGTAAAAACATATACAATGAGCCTTAACTAATGGGGACAAATATAGTACATCTGGTTTCAAGGAAAAGGAACCAAAATATGTATCATGGAAGAACTGGTGTTTGAGACAGGCTTTGGGAGATAGATAAGATTAGAATAGAGAAACAATTAAGAACAACATTCAAAGCAAAGGAAACAAGAACAATAGCACAGAAGAAGGCGCTTTCAAGGTGTACTTAAGAATCTGCAATGATAAAGTTCTCTTCCAACATAAAAGGCTTCTGGGACACTCTGTCCTGCTCTGGCCTGCTGTGCACTTATCTTGTTCCAAGAATACTCATTCTTGCCTTTGCCTGGTATCTCGTAGAGCCCTAGTTCATAAACTCTCGTTCAGGGGCACTGGAAACCTTTTAAGAGTTGGCACAGAGACCTGCCTTTGGCTACTCTTTTTCAGGGGAGATAACACCTATCTGAGCTTCAAGGGCATTAAGCTGCCAAAGGTAGGGGGTACAGCCATATACGGCTACACACTCTCTCCCTCCATCCCAACTCAGACATATCTGTTGGCAGGGGCCCAACTGGAGATATCCAGAGGGAAAGGCTGTGACCACAAATGAGAAAAAAATGGGGAGGGTCAAAAGACAGACTTTGTCCTTCACACAAGTCTGATTCTGGCTTTTAGTGCTCAGGGCCAGCCTGGTGAGAAAGGCAGAATACTGCCCAACACAAACCTCCCCCCAGTCACTTTCACCATTATGGTTTCAATTCTTTGGATTCTGAAGGTATTCTGACATGAAAAGAAAGATCGGTCTTGAATTAACACTGAGTAAAAAACCATAAAGTTATAAACCTACATGTAGGTTATAATTTCATTTACTATAAAATCTGTACAAACAGTGATATTTAGAAAGGGCACTAAAATATTAACAGTGGTAATCTTTGCACCCAGCAGTTCAGATTATTTTGACTTCTTTTTATGTAGTTTTCTGTATTGTTTACTTAAAAAATTAAGTATGAATCTTTTAAATAAAATCAGTAGAGCTCCAGTTCCCTCACCTGTAAAATGGAGACAGTGATACCTGTATCATAGAGTTTTAATAATAGTAGTTTTAATAAGAATGAGATAATGAATATAAGATTTTTGGCACAGTGTCTGGTACCCAGGTCAAAATAAATGGGAGCTGAGATGATGAATCAGCAGCATACTTGTCTACACTCAGATGAGAAAAATTTCTGAATCTTAGGCTTTTTACAGTAAAATGGAAATTAATGCTTACTTCAACGGGTTATTGCAAGAACTAGATAAGCATTATTCAGTATGTAGCAAGTGCTCAATAAATGTTGGTTTCCCTTATATTCTATTTACCATGACTCATTAACATAATCAACAAATAGGTCCTGAGTGCTGTTATTCAACTTTGGACTTCCGGGCCCCATCTGCCTGTTAGCGTTCACTTCTTAGAGTTTCAAGTGCATGCTGTTTGTCCTCTATCTTGCTCCATGCGGCTCTCAAGCCCTCGTAATATGACCACAGTTCTCGTGCCACATGTAAACATTCTAACATTTTGCAGATACTGAATTAAAAATCTATTATTTACACTGACTCCACCATTTTCATTTTCCTGGTGTGTTCATTAGAAAATTCAAAATTACATATGTGCCTGGCATTATGTATTTTTTGGTGAGCAGTGATCCAGAGGATGGAAATGTATGCCTCCTTCGACTCCTTAAACTTAACCCCACTCTGGGGCAATGTCCCAGCCAGGCAGAAACTGCAGGTGGAGCCGAAGACCTTGAAGAG